TCATTGCCATGCACAACTTGATCATGTGGATAGCTGTCTCTTGAATGCTGTCGATGGTTTGAAGCGTTGTGGTGGCCTTTGAACAAAAGAGATTTCAATAGGCGAAGTGGCACTTGCTTTGTTCTACAGATAGGCCCCTTCAGTCACAACTAGGTTTTTCAGCATGTTCATCGCTCAGTGGGAAAGTTGGGCACTGGGCTTGGGTATGTTACATCAAAATGGACGGACCCCAACATATTGGTTTTCTTTTGGTTTCCCCACAAACCAGCCTACCAAAGGGCCCCCTCCAAACAGGTGACAGGAGGTCCTGTCAAATTTACCTGTAGCCTATGGTTCATTTGGGAGGGACCGAGGACTCACTAGCCAAATCGAATTCCCCCATGTCTTTTTGGGGATTCGGGCGGTTTGAAAAGGAGACCAAAAGGAACCCACCTGAGGGCCCAAGTTTGAGCAACACCCACATGGAGCCGCGGTAATTTGGACAATTCGCAGGATGATAGAAGCAAACTGTGATCCTGACATTGAGTGCCAGCCCTCAGCTTTGCAGGCGGTTGAGTGCTTGGGGACAGCACCTGTTGCTTTGTTGAACCTGGCTTGGGGCGATTTGAAAGGGAAACCGCCAGGAAAACCGCCGTCTTGGCGGTTTGCCTGATTTTGCCACAACCACAAGGGTGGGAATTGTGCAAACAGTCTGCTTTAGTTTGCCTCCAGGGGCCAAATATCCTATCCTTGTGCGGTCAGGTTTTCAAGCATCCCTGTGGCTCGAAAGAGCGAAGATGGAGGGAGAGAGGGAGAGAGAGGGCGAGAGAGGCAAGCATCATGTCTGCCTTGGTTCTTGTGCAGCTTCAGTCTGTGAGGTGCTATGAATCTGTCCTGGACGTGCCATGGTAGCAATGGTGCGATTGCCTGTGAAAGGCAGCACGCAGTCTGACAACTTGAACGAAGGGGTACCTAATTCACAAATTATCATCGTGCTTAAATCAAGGATGCTCCAGCGATCCCTTCTCGCAAGCCATTTTGACAACGTAGGAAGTTAGCTTTATTATGTTTGGACATACTCACTTAGGACATTCGCTGCGACGTTGGCTTTCTGTTCTGTTTTTTTTGTTTCTGTTTTTTTGTGGGGAAGTAGGACATGTTGCGCGTACGCGCATACAACACCCACTCCTAGTAGCACTCTTTTTCCCCGTCTTGATCGAGCTTTATCTTTCTCTTATTTCTGTGTCTCTTCATCTTTCTGTTTCTTTTTCTCGTTCTCTTTCTCTTCCACGAGGTTTTCGCAATTTGACCCACCGGAAGTCCGCAGAGCCCGCAGGGTCGACCCCCACGAAAGCCCGAGGGTTGAGCAAGCAGAATGAACATCTTAAAGCAAAAGGCACGGTCTTGAGGGTCCACCCGCCCAAAGTGCCCACAGGCTTCACCGATGAGCGGCTAGCAGCCCGCCAACTCTGGCGATCTCTTGGTTGTTCTTAGCTCTTTCATGCGTAATGCCAGCATTCTTTAGAGAGAGAGAGAGAGAGCTAACTTCACCTAGTTCTAGTACTTTTCAAGTTGCAAGTCAAACTTCTTACCTCTGCTGTTGCTGCTGCTACTACTGCTACTGCTAGCGCTACCACTACTGCTGCTGCTACCCCACTCTACTACCACTACTACCACTACTGCTGCTACTACTACTGCTGCTACTGCTACTGCTACTGCTACTGCTCCTGCTACTGCTACTGCTACTGCTACTGCTGCTACTACTACCACTTCTACTACTACTACTACTGCTACTACTACTGCTACTGCTACTGCTACTGCTACTGCTACTTCTACTGCTACTGCTACTACTACTACTACTACCACTACTACTACTACTACTACTACTACTACTACTACTACTACTACTACTACTACTACCTCTACCTCTACCTACCTCTACCTCTACCTCTACCTACCTCTACCTCTACCTCTACCTCTACCTCGACCTCGACCTCTACCTCTACCTCTACCTCTACCTCTACCTCTACCTGTACTACTTTTACTTCTACTTCTGATCCTACTAGTACTACTAGTACCACCATCACCACTACGACTACTACTACTACTACTACTACTACTGCTACTACTTTTACGCTGCTATTCTTTTTTTGGATATAGTAGTGTATTACCTAGTGCCTACTGCTTACTACATACTACCTACCACCCACCACCTACCACCCACCACCTCCTACTAGTAATTCTCCTAGTACGACCTGGTTGAGTAGGTGGTTCAACTACCTGGTTCGAGGTGGTTCGGTCCCTTATTGTAGAAGTACAAGCGTTGCCAACGTTTTGATCGAAGCAACACTGGGTTTTGGTTGCAGTTCTCAACTGAATCTTGCAAACAGCTTGCAAACATGGGGCACCCTAAATTTGGTTTGGTTTGAACGCCAATCACGAGGGGATCCCCCCCAGGACACCCCAAACAAGTTCATGTTTCATGACTTGCGACCTTTGGCATGACTCGCGCGGCAGGGGG